TGAAGAGGAACAGAGAGGAGTCAGTCGTGTATTTTAGAATTTGGATGATTGGGTTTGGATGAAATTGGATGAGAGGTCACCAGATATTGGCTTGAAATCATATTTAGAATGACATAAAGAGAAAAAAATAAAGTGAAAAAGTAGGATTGAGACTATATTTCAGGAAAACAAAGGTAGTGACAATATCTGCAGAAAGACATGAGGTGTTTACAATCAACAAGGAGGAAATTGAATTAGTTCAATAATTTGTTTTCCTTAAATCAAAAATTGTTCACGATAGTAGTTGAAATCACCTGAAATCAAATGCAGAATAATCTAGGGAAGGAGTGTTAAAGTGGATTTCTTCAAGGATGGGATCAGCATTGTAGTTCTCCTCTGTGGGCCAGCCTGGGGGGGGGGGGCGGTGGACAGCAGGATGGATGCCTTCTGCTGCATCTTGCCAGTCACTACTACTATTACTACTACTACTACTACTACCACTATCACTACTACTACTACTACTACTACTACTACTACTACTACTACTACTACTGTTGAGACTTTGGAAAAAGTTCAAAGAAGAGAAACTAAGATGATCAAAGGCTTGGAGACTAAACCATATGAAGAATGGCTGCAGGTTTTGGGTTTGGCTAGTCTAAAGAAAATAATTAGGGGTTACATGATAGCAGTAGTCCAGTATTTGAGGGGCTGCCACAAAGAAGAGGGGGTCAAATTATTCTCCATAGCACCAGAGGACAGGACAAGAAACAATGGTTTGGAAACTAATCAAAGAGAGAAGCAATCAGGAATTAAGGAGAAACTTCCTAACAATGAGGACAATTAACCAGCGGAACAGCTTGCCTTCAGAAGTTGAGGGTGCTTCATCACTGGAGGTTTTTAAGAAGAGACTACAGTCACTTGTCTGAAATGGTATAGGTTCTCCTGCTTGAGCAGGGGCTGGCCTAGAAGACCTCCAATATCCTTTCCAGTTCTATTCTATTCTACTCTAAAAAGAGATATTGATATAAATACAAAAAGCAGGCTAATTAGAGCAATAATCTTCCCTATAATGATGTATGGGAGTGAGAGTTAGGCACTAAGAAGGGCTGAGAAGAATTGGTGTCTTTGAACTATGGGCTGGTGTAAATTATTGGGTATACCATGGACAACTAGGGTTTTCTGTTGTTTCTATTCTGCTTCTTCAAAGTCCCATTTTCACTTCCATAAAATATCACAGGGAAAACCTCATCATCATTTCTGTTTCTGCTAGAAAAAGCTATTTCAAACTCTGGTCATTAAATCTTAGTTTCAGAGTAACATGACAATTCAACATGCACAGAAGCTTACCTGATTTGTGTCAGTGTTCACTTTAGTCATTGCAGGACTGATATTTCCAGTATTCTTGGTCAGCCTGATCAATAGTGAGAAATGCCAAGAACCATAATTCTGACTTTTAGTTTTTTATCAGTTTTTTTACCAGATGCATTGTAGGTTGAGAGCTTTCAGATGAATACAGTCCCTCCACTGGGTTCATTTCTAAGTTTTAATTTGTTGAGGCAAAACAGCTGAATGGGAGAATATGACATGTGACTTGATAAGTTACTCCTGGAAAAACATGCATTTGTCCCCGCATGATCAAGAAGACACCTTAGGATCAGATTGTAAGCACATGTACAAACATATGCACCACTTCCCAGAAGATATGCATCTATCTGTCTCTGTCTGTCTGTCTGTCTGTCTGTCTGTCTGTCTGTCTATCTATCTATCTATCTATCACCTCATTTTATATGCCATCCGTATTGCTATCCAAAGAGATGTTGAGATGTTGGGTAGCTCGATATTCAACCTTTAGACCAGTGATGGCTAACCTTTTCTGGACCAAGTGCCCAAATCACGTGTGTGCACACACCCAAACCCCCCCAAATGCAATGCATGCACGCCCCTTGCACATGCACCACCCCCCACGTGCATGCATCCCACTGCACAGGCCCCACTCCTTTGCATGTGCATGCAACCCCACCCCCACATGTGCCCCCCTCCCCCCATGCACGGCAGAGACCCAAAGACCAGCTGGCCATCGGGAAGCATGTGCGCATGCGCAGGGGAACTGAACTAGGATGACAGCTCACATGCCCACAGAGGCTGCTGCATGCCACCTCTGGCATGCGTGCCATAGGTTCACCATCACAGCCTTAGACTAATACTGACAGGGAGGTGAGGGGCACAACATATGTTTGCATCTTCTTGCAAAGCCACAGAAAAAGGTTTCCAATCATCATCCAGATAAAGAAATCCTATCTAGTAGAATTATTTTGCCTATGACATGAAGCAATTGTCTTATGAAAGGACATGCACTTTTATTTTACGCTGATGTCTGTTTTCCTCTATGATTCAGCTTCATTCCTGTCTGGAAAGAATTCTATTCCTTTTGTGAAAAATATTTTCCATCTGCAGCTTTGGTGTGTATCTTATGGAAGGTCCAACATTGTACCAATGAATCTACTCCTGCCCTGAGAGGAGATGTTTGATTCCCTTAACATTCCAGCGCGCGCACACACACGCACACACACGCCAACTGTGCTCTACAGGCACCTCAAACCTCAAGTGCAGATTAGAAGCACAAATACAGGTATGGTACTGGGAGATGCATTTCCAGAGTTAAACCAAAGACAAAGTTGCATGAAAGTCATCCGTTAATTTAGTTGTAGGGCTTTCTTTTGAATGCCCAATGAGTAGTATCAGCCTATTAAAGCTGATACTACTCACACACATGAATGTACTCTACATAGAAAGCATGGTGTTATAACAAGTTACATCTATACAGTGCATTCTCTATATGATAAAGAAGGTTTTTTGGGGGGAGGGGTTGCAGAAAACAACCTCTTTTCATCTTGCCTTAAGAACATCCTCCTTTTTGATAATATATATGGATGGTTCCTGAGCATGTTTGGGGATTTATTTTTCCACCCTTACAGCCAATTAGCAAAACCAAAGCATCAAACAGAAAAATAATATGCAAAGCGTAGAGGGAAAGAGGAAAAAAAAAAAGAAAACAAGTGTGAATTAAATTCTTTATTACAAAAAAGGAAAAAACAAAAAAAACATAGATGGCGTTTTTTAAAGATATTTTTGTCTAAAAATAAATATTTCTTATGGAATCTTGAGATTAGCCAGTGTGGCTAGTGATTTTTTTTTAGCCACAGTACAGAAAAACAGTAGCACCAATAAATAAAATGATAGTAAAATTTTCTATAATCTGGGGCAGAAGAAAAGTTTACATATATATAAAAAATGTAGTGTCTTAATTAATCACACATATACATAAACATATATATATATACACACACACTTACATATGTATAGCCAAATATACAGAGTATACATATATATATATATATGTAGATGTATAAACTTTGCTTAAAAGGAATGTGTAGGGATGAGTGTTAAGTATTAATTAAATAACTGATCATGCTATTCACTTTCTCAACAATTGGGGAAGATTGGTTGAAACAGAAGAGTTTAAAATTTATACATAACAGTACAAAAAAAAGAGGTACGACTTATAAATAGTAAAATTAAATATCAAACAAAGAATACTGAAAAATACCTAGTTTAAATTATTATTACTTTTTAATTTCTAATTTTAAAGGGATATTAAACAAGTATATAGAACGTCACCTCACACAGCATGAATATATACATTTCAGTTATACGCGTGTGCACATGGGCACATGTATCCACACAGACACACACGCATACAAACTGAATGCACACCATATTTCTATCAGCTAGAGGGGGTTTTTATAGTGGTTAATAAACACTCTTCGAAGGCTGATTTAAGGCCAGTTTTTCTTGCTTTTCTGTAAACAGACAAGCATTGGGCAGGATTCTGACATGGACCAAGTATAGTACAAAAAAGAAAATAACAACAATCAGAGACTGAGAAACAGGCACACACAGCAGTCCAATGAAGGCAATGAGATGCAACTTTCCAGGTACACAGAACAGTGCTCTACATTTGCAGACTCAGCTACGCAATCAATCTCCAACAATGGATTGATGAATGTTCTGACAATGCCAAACAGATGGCCAGATCCAATCAACATTACATGTCTTGGGGAAAGAGAGGGACTGGAAGGGGAAGGCGGGGACATACAAGGGTAAGGTGGTAAGAAAAGGAGTTGCTTGGATTCCGTCCCCTTCAAACATATACAGATAGTCATCCTCTTCAGAGTTGATTCACTCACTTCATAGCAACCAGAAACCTATGGAAGCATCACATACACCCCATGTAGCAATAGCCTTCTCGTGGCAGCAATGCTGATCTGGATGGAATGCTGCCTGGTGACAGCCCAACAAAGTTCCATGCAGTAAGAAAAATGGGGAATCCTGTCCTTGCAGATTCAGTGATGTCCGACAGCCTCAATTCTCCTAACGTATTTGATCTGGGACTGCAGAGTGTTTAACAAAGAACGGTACCCAGAGGCCGTCAACTAGCATCATTTTGCATTTCCCAGCAAAGCAAGCTGAAGCCATGTCATCTTTGGACAAGTCAAATTGCTTCAGACATTCATAAGAGTGTATTGCTGCCTTTAAAAATCTGCCTTATCACCTTCTGTCCAAATACCTATTAAATGCCTGGTAACTGAGATGCTTTGGTGTTTCAAGTGTTTATATGCAAGGCACTGAAAATTGTAGCCCAAGAAAAATTACTGATTGCTTAAACTGAATCTCAACGAATCAGATTGGCTGGTCCAAGTCCCATATTCTAAGGCAGTGTTTCTCCATCCTGACAACTTTAAAGAGGTGAGACTTCAACTGCCAGGATCTGCCATGGCTGAGGAATCCTGAGAGTTAAAAGTCCAGATATTTTGAAGTTGCCAATTTGAGAAACATTGTTCAAAGGACGTCTTCAAACCAGAGTTAAATGGAATCTTGTCAATTGCCTGGTATTAGAGCTTTGTCTACTGTCTCTGAAAGTTATGTATATACTGGCTTGGTTACAGTCAGGTTTTTTTTTTAAAAAAAAACAACACCTTGTTTTGGACCTATATGCAAAAAAGAAAACAATTCACTCCTCCCTCTTTCATCAGATTTAAACTGGCTTAGATTTTGGTGATGAATCAAAATCCAAGGTTAAAATGCTATTAACTCTGGGACTTAGATCAGACTCTGTGTGCACCTGAACCTAAAAATCTTTTTGCATAGAAGCACTTAAGGCTATTCAATTAGGTTCCAAAACTGCTATGGGAATAACCCAGCAACCAAGCATTCAAAAAACTAGCAAAAAAAGCTTGAGATAGCCTTCCCCAATCTGCTACCTTCCAGAACAATTCCCACTTTTCTCAGCCTATTTGCCTTGCTGATTCGGAATATTGGCTCTGAAGTCTAACAGTTATGGAAGAGCTTGGATTGAGGGAGGCTAACCAAAAGCTTACATGGCTGGTCTATACAGGTCAATGGGGAAACTGGGTAAAACAATCATACTTTGTAAAGTCTACAGTGGGCACTCCAAAAGAAAAGGTCAAAGTCAAGGTGAATTATCTAATTTGGGCATAGGTATGGCTTTAAGGACAGAGGGAAGCATGGTGGTTTTGTCTTCCTTCTTACATCTGCTTAATAGCAGTGTTTTTTAGTTATTTCAGCTCCTGCAGTGAATAAATGGACAACACATTTAGAATCATCCCAAAATCACATTGCTCCTTTCATCCCCCATATTTCCTGTAACTGAACTGTAGAATCTTCTTAAATAGGGAAGTCATGAAGGTTGTTTTAGAATGTCACACAAGGGCCCTCTTTAATTCAAAAGTTCTTCTGCCCACACTGGAAGCAGGATAACTCTGGAATTCAATGTAGAGTCCCACTGACCTTTCATACAAGTCATATCCGAATGGCTGGGACGAATTATTCAGATATTATTGATAATGGGGAGGCTCTATGCTATTTTTTTTTAGTGGTGGTAATAGGTCCTACAGCACAAGTCCAGCAAAGAATACTATGTCTTAATATATTGATGGTACAAGACTGAGAATAACACATTTACAATGCTAAAGAGTAAGCTCTCACCAGCTTTTCCCTCGAAGGCCCAAAATGTAACAAGCCAATTTTAAACTTATTAGGCACAAAAAAGAGAAGAAAAACCCTATACAGTTGTATGTACCCCCTCACTCACACACACTCACGCATCCTGCCTATTGCGCATATATACTTAAATTAATATCCCTTTCCAGAGATGTTCCAGAAGTATCTTCAGTGGCAGCTCTGTGCATGATGGTTGACAGTGCTGGTTCAACTGCCCGGCTCTCTGTAAGTCCCCCTTCTTTCCTCCGTCTCCTTCTGCCAATATGACATCCATTATTTAAGTAGCCAACAGGGATGGCAGGATTCCAGGGATGCCTCCTTGAGCTGACAAGTCCAAACTCAGCCGCTTCCCATCAGTAAGGCCAAAACACGTTATCTGTGGCAAAATGTTCCTGCAGCAAGTCAATACAAAAATATACACCGACGACCCCATTGAAGCCAGTAGATTGTGAGCCAGACTCAGAAGAGATTTCCGAGAAGGAAGGGGAAGGGAATTTGATTGAACCATCAGTTCCAGCATTTAAGAGTTATTTCCTTGACCTTTTGACCCACAGTATTCCAAGGTGCCATTTTGGGAATCCCCTGCCATCTCTTCTCGTACAAATGTTTCGCTCCCACACGGGAGTGGGGCAGGAGAGTGGGGAGAGGAAGTGAGACCAGCAGGCTTTAGAGGGTCAGGAAGAGTATGAAGAATATATTGAGCAGTATTGACTGGAGTCCAGTCGTGGTTTCTTTCTTATGTCCCAAATAGCCCACTTGTGTCCACAGCAGTTGAGTATATCCAGTGAAGACACCAATAATGTTAGCAATGTTTTAGAAATTCAGTATATATACATATACACATACATATTCATATACATATACATATACTTCATGTGTATTGGGAGTCCCAAGCATATATCACTCCACTCTCCCTGGCTCTATATCTTAGCAGCATGAGAAGGAAAGTTTTTTTTTTCTGTAAAACCAGTTCAAAACCAAAAGGTGAATCCTGCGCAGGTCGTCAGGGAATGTTCCTTCCAGAGTCCATCGTCCATACTCAAAAGTGCTGTGCGCTGCTGATCCTTCATTTTTAGTGTTCATTTGGATTAGTGTTTGTTTTCCGTTTCTGACCAGGTGAGATGTCAGGCTCCAGAACCAAGGCTGCGCCCGCACTCCCTTTCTTCTCTGCTGCTCACCGCCTCGGTTTTTCACATCTGTGGAGGAGAGGAAAGAAGGGAGGAGAGGTTACGTCACTGTATGCGGGATTCTCCTACATTAACATGGCATTAACAGGTGAGAAGGAGCCTCTTGGGTTAAAAGATTAGCGAACGTGTTTTGCCACAGAATAAATCAAAATCCTATACAGGGACCAACAGCAAAGAAAAAGAAAAGGCATTTACTCGTTTTCTCTCCGCAAACAATAATTCTATTAAGAATACTAGGTAAAGGAAAAGGTTCCCCTCACACATATGTGCTAGTTGTTCCCGACTCTAGGGGGCAGTGTTCATCTCCGTTTCAAAGCCAAAGAGCTCCATGGTCATGTGGCCGGCATGACTAAATGCCTAAGGTGCACAGAACGCTGTTACCTTCCCACCAAAGGTGGTTCCTATTTTTCTACTTGCATTTTTACATGCTTTCGAACTGCTTGTTCGTTGGCAAAAGCTGGGACAAGTAACGGGAGCTCACTCCGTTACGCAGCGCTAGGGATTCAAACCGCCAAACTGCCGACCTTTCTGATTGACAAGCTCAGCGTCTTAGCCACTGAGCCATCGCGTCCCTATTAAGAATACTACTTCATCTCCAAAGTTGGTTTCTAAATCCTGGCATACCTCTCACTCATACCTGCACAGAAACAATATACCTTGTTTCGCCACACTAAACTCTTCTGTTGTGTATTTTAAAGAGGTGCAGTCAAAGCAAACCGGGGTGCCCCGTGCCAGCAAAAAGGGAGAGAAAACAAAGAGCTTAATTCTGCTGCTGGCAGAGGTGGAGATTAGTGCTTTAGCACAGCAGCAACCATAGCAGCTGTGTAGAAGTCAGGAAGCGAAGAATCAGCTGTGCCCTTTGAGGTCCAGATTTCCTCCCTGCAGTGAAGAGTTCATCTGGAGCAGCCAAGCAGCTGCCAAAACCAAAACAATCCAACCTATCCTCTGGCACGACTCAAGGGGCAACATGTATGCTGGCCTTGGTTCTACGCTGGGGCAATTTCTTAATTAGCCATTCCTCCCACCCACCCCCTTCTTCCCCTGGGACTAGCATGGCACTTACTATTTCAAACGTCTCATTGGTTAATTTGAGGGGAACTATAAAGGTCAAGGTTAGACAACTGTCTGGTTTCTCTCCAGGGGCTACTTCTGCACGGTGAACTGTAACTCAAGAAGAGCTGGCTCTCTTCTTGCTGCGGCACTAGGCATCCACACTCAGATTACAGACCTTCACATCTTTCCTCTACCCACGCAGCCATGTCTCAAGTCTCTTTGCCCAGGCAGAGAACTCAGCTTCGTGAGATATAATGTATAAAGCCCAACGCCATCAGCCTGGCTCTAGGTGAGCGTTTCTGATGGAACAGGAAAGGTAGAACCTCATCCACTCTTTTCAGAGTCACAGCCAACGTGTTCTGCCTTTTCAGAACCAGACTTAGGGATGGTGGGCTGAGATTTGCAGCCACAAAGCAGGTAACTCAGATGACAGCATGCCATCCGCATGACACCAGGTAGGTTATCCATCTGGGACAGAAAGATATCCTGGTTTTTACTTGGACCACTTGAGCTCTAGCCAGACACTTCATTCTTCTGAATACATAGAAATAATATAGTAGAGAAGGAAAGGGGCTAATCACACTCTCTTCTATAAAAACACACACATTCTAGAGTAAAAGAGAAGTGCAGGAAAGAATGCATGTCTGGATTTATGACTCAGTCCCAGGTAGATTTAATCAGATCTGCTACAGAGCTTAAAAAGATGGATTGGGACAAGTTATTTGCTTTGAGGGGCAGGGAAAGATTGGCGATCTTGTTAAACAGCCAGTTGCATTAAACAAGGATTTGTTTAAAGGTCTTTGAAGATTTCTCCTGGGCGCTAGCAATGTGGGAGGAGCCACCTTTTCTCTAAGATATGTATTCTAGATTATCTATCATCCCCCTACTGACTGACAGTACAGTTCAACTCTGCCAGAACAAGGGAAGTTTTAAACTTTAGGCAGATTACACCATCTCTTTCCCTCTTGCCCAACTGGCCAAGCAGAAGAAAAGGAGGACCCTAGACTCCTGGCACCAGTAGCCAGTAGAAGCTTATCCCTTTCTCTCTTTCTCTCTCTCTCTCTCTCTAGATGTGTGTTGAATGAATATGTCTGAGAGAGTAGTATGTGGGATTTGTTTTCTGTTTTCCATTTTCTTCAGGACACAAACCTGCAAGTGCGCTCGTTTAACTCAAGCTGCTTCGACTTGCAACGTGAGTCTGTGAATTTGCAGGAACATTTACAGGTCAAGGGATCTTGTTTGTACAAGTGCTTTCTCCTTTCTGAGCAAGGTTCACAGTGACTGCAAAAAGGCAAAAGGAAAGAGGTCTAAGCTACAGCGCTTTAGCGGGAAGAAATGTACACATGCAACACCCTACACATTGAAGCAACCCTCGCCCCCACCCCTTGCCCCCCCCCTTCCCAACACTGCACGCCTAGAGCACTGCTGGGAGAGGAGAGAAGACACCCCCAAAGGCATTCCAACACTTACTTGCAATAGCTTTTTAAAAGGCAGAAATGGGCTCTCTGCAACGGCCTAATCCACAAATCCTGCATTAGTCCAATTTGCAGTGGAAAGGAGAGCCTCCTTATTGTTAACTGAGGTCTCTGAGGCAATAGCCAAATAATAATAATAATAGTCAAGGGCAACTCTTTCTACAGAGAAGCCCCTGTCTTTAAAAAAGAGAGAGAGAAAACAGACTTCAGAACCCAGCTGCTCCTATTCAAGTTGTGTCGTTTTCCATACGGATTGAATCAAAACAGCAGCTCTTGAAATCCCTCACCCGCCATCACCCGGCCACCTAAGAATTACTGGAAATGCAGGATTTGGTGAATTGAGGTGTAGAAAAGGCAGAGAAAGAGTAAAGGCACCCAATTCCAACAGAGAGAAAGAAAGAGAGAACACTCCCCAAATTTTCCCAGAATCCTCTAGCTCCCCTCTGGTAATGGTTAGTACTTGCCATCAGTCTCCATACACACACACACAGGCAAACATGCATGAAAGACAAGTATGAAGCTCTCGCTGCCACACCAACCAGGATTGTAAGTGACAGCCAAGAGGAAATTAAGGAAGTGGGTTGGGGGAAATCATGTAAGAGCGCTTTAGGGGGAAAGCAAGAGTGAAAATAAATAGAAATTTGCCTATCCTTTTAGGTCACTGTGTCTTTCAAAGACCAGAATAATCCCAAGCAAGAAAAAACAAAAGGATCACAGCTTCTATGCGCTCCCCAATGTCCCCAAACATATAGTGCCACCACAAGAACAAGTGATTTTGGAGATGCGAGTGAAAATTGTTTGCTCCTTTGATTGTTCAATTAGATGTAATGCAAGCAGGAGTTTTGATTTGAGGGGTGAATAGAAAGAAATGGGTAAAGGGCAGAGTCTAAAGCACATGATGCAAAAACGTACAAATTCTGTGGTTTATACCGGCCTCTCCTGCGCTTTCTTTTTTGACCCTTCCCCTTTCCTCGCTTTGATTTTCTGGAAGAAAAACAAAACAAGCAAGAGAGAGAGAGAGAGAGAGAGAGAAAGTGCACAGGGTGGGAGGAAAGAGGAGGGGAAAGAGGGAGAAGCTACCATATGCACTTAGATAAAATATAAGAATCTAAACTGTGGAAGTCCTTGGAGTTGAGGCATTTCTGCTTTCTTGCTGTGAGTTGTTTTTGGTTTTTTTAAGATAGATGGGTGGCCATATAGATCTTTTAAATAAATTTGCTTCTTACACTTCACACAACTCTGTCAAAAGTTGAAACCTGACATGTCTCGCTTCAAATATGACCCGGCCTACAACTCTGCTCCTTCCCCAAGAAATTGAAATGCCTTATTTTGGCTCCAGTACGGGCCCAAAAAGTCACTTCACTGGTCCCCAGATAGAATGGGCTCTCCAACTTCAGTGAGGAAGAAAGGTGGTGAGCAGCACTTAACAATGCGCCAACAAGGCTCTGTTTGTTTTATGGTTTTCATTTTGACATGTACAAGCTTTGCTCTCAGCAAATTATTTCTGAGACTTCCCACTGGAACCATCAGAAAGCATAATTAGGCTGTTCACCTACAGTGAAAGGTGGGGAGGTAATTCTCATTCTGTGAAAAAGGAGGTAAACTATTAATATTCAGTTCATCCTCAACTGCTCTGATCTTGCTTGGAACATAAGGTGATTATGGCCTGTCTGGACCCATTACTATAGGGGTTGTCACTAATAACCAAAATCTCTATGAGCTACTACATATAGGCTATAATATATTAACAGAGAATCTGGAGACCTCCTTCCCTGTTGCAAATGCTAGAGAAAGTAATGTATAGGTCTGGTTGTCCACCCTTTCATTAAAAATGGTGATCCTAAGAAACCAACTCTATTTGACTGCCCAGTCTACCAGTTCATCTGATTTAATATTGTCTACACTATACACCAGAGTCTCTGGTAGGTTTTCAGGCAGGTGATTTTCTCAGCTCCACCTGAAAAAACCTTGGGACCTTCTGCAAAGCTCATTCCTACCCACACATGTTAAGGTCCTCCTATGTACTTTCTGATCATGTGTACAGGTCTAGAGCAGCAATCCCAGCCAAGGGGAAAATCAGGTGAAACTTAGTACCTACTGCTCCAGTAGTAAACTCTAGGAGAAATGCGCATGGAAAAATGCAATATTCTTGGGACAATACCTAATACAAAAAGTACTCCTTTCTTCCTAGAAACTTTAAACTTTGGAAGAAGATGCTGTAATAAAGGAGGAAGTCCCTGGGGTTAATGGACAGGATGTGCCCTGGATCTTGTTCAAGCCTCTTGGTTGGCATCAGTTTTTCTCTCCTAACCACAAGCAAAGTAAGCATCACAAGAACACAGAACTACTAGCAGGGCAGAGGAAGCATGTTTACTTCAGGAAACTCTCACAAAGATTTACATTCATTTATGCCACATTCATCCAGAGGCACACCATGAAAAAGGCATCAAGCATAAGAGGAATTTCAGCTTAACCCAAACCAGAAGGAACCCGATACCGATATGGAGATTTGCGAAGCAAAGTAAGCCACCTGAAGGAGTGGAAAGCTATAGTCCCAGAGGGAAGATTGTGGCCACGGTGCTCACTCAATCACAACACTCTTACATCTCTGAGTCACTCTGCCATTCAGCAGAATAACATGTGCACCAGAAGAGTAAGCCAAGCTAGCAGTATTTCCCTGGGCAATCCACTGATGGCTCCACAATGTGAATTCATGAGAATTCAATTAAGCTGGGACATGTATGAGAACAGCACAACTAACTAAAAATATCCCCCCAACCCCCATTCTTTCTTTCTCTCTCTCTCTCTCTCTCTTTCTTCCCCAGCTTCCAAGCCAAATTGCAGACCATGAATGATCTTAGTATACCCCCACAGTGCATGCATGCATTTATTTGTAAGCTAGAAGTGGGGAAAGTATATCCATATTTGATTAGCCTGGCTAATGTATGGAGAAGAAATCTATTTTATCATTCAATAATACTACACAAATCTCAAGGTAGATGCCAGTTTCACATTACAAGATCGGCAACTTCCATTCCCACAACACAACTCATCTACAGTCACCACAATGCAGTGTTTCCAGATGCTTTGAACTACTATCTTATTGGCCCCAGATTGCAACACCAATAGCCTGGGATAGATATTCCAAAAGCACTATAGAAGGCACCATGCTGGTAAGTGCTGACGATAAAATGAATATAACTCCCTTTATTCCACCTTTCATGATTGATATGCAAAGTTAATTCACATCAGAACACTACCCACCATTTGATTGGGCGTACGTGGCTTTTGGTTCATGAAAGGGTAAATTCCCTTGTTCTAAGTGAGATAGCAGAGCCCCCATGCACAGCCTTAATGTTAGGCATCTATGAAAGTTGCTGTTAACATCAGCAAGTTTTCATCAAAGCAGCAAAGAGAGGGGAGGGCAATGGTGTCCAAATGCATGTGGAAGGAAAGTTTCAGCTAGAATCCATTTGAAAAGGGATAAAAGCTTTCAGTTAACTCCATGCTGTTCCTGACATATATTTTTTTATAAGTAAACTGTTTCAAAATGGCCTCAAGGCATAAGGGAACCACAGCTGTTAAAGCTACATGTGTGACTGTAGCTAAGAGGAATGGATTCAAGTTATAATACTTTAGATTATTTCTTTAAAAAAAAAACAGCAACAACCAGTTCTTATTTGTAGTGATCTGGGAAAGAAAGGAGGGAGATCACCAACACCAATTTAGGGGAGGGATATAATCCAGGTCACTTACTTTTCTTGCCTAACTGTGACTTCTTTCTTTTGTCTATAATGGAAGAAAAGAAGAGCAGGATTAGAAGAGAACCAGCAATAAATACAAAGATCTCCCATCCACGCTTTTACCACCCCACTTTCAGCAGCAAACATAATAAAGGATGCTCTTTCTGCCTTCCAGCACTGCCTGCCTCAGCCTTCCAAATGTTCCAGACTACCAATTCCATTATCTTTGTCAACTAGCAACGTTATCTGGGGATAATGGCAGCACAAGCTTAAAACGCCATATGACCATCAGGTTGGTGAAGACTGGCCTTAATTATGACAGCCAAAGGCAGAAAAGGAAGCACATTTCTTTCTGACCAAATTAAAACACCGTTCAGATGTTATGCCCAAATATATGCATTAAAAAGTCATACGTTATGTCCTTGCCACCAATATCCCCAGCTTGATTTCCCTTTGCCCAACATTGATTGAACAGCAAAACCTGAAGGGAAATTTTGTACACGTTGACATGAAAAAGAATGATGTCAGAGGTCTGTTTATACAGATCTATTTATTATTTTGTACAACTCAAGGCAAAAAATGTACAATATTTCTGCCTTCTATTTTTCCTACAATAAATCTGTACGGTGAGTTGCGCTGCAGAGGTGACTGGCCCAAAGTTGCCAAACTCACTTTCATGCCTAAGGAGGATTAGAACTTGCAGGCTCTGGGATTTCTAGTCCAGGCACTTTAGCCACTACACCAAAGTAGCTCTCTTGATTGTGATCATGTCCTCATGATCGTGTAAACTTATATAACAAAGGTTGGGGGGGGGGAATTAAGGGTTCAGAGCACATAGGGACATAAGGCAAGACCCAACCACCTGTTTACTCAGTTGGAGCAGAACAGCAATACAATGTTTCACAACCAGTTGCTGGTTCTCAATTGCACCTACCCAAAGAATGTACCAAGCAGCCAGTGAAATTTCCATGACAGAGATTGAGAGCATGTAAGCACACAGATACAAACACATTTATTTTGCCACCTAGACGCAAACCCATAAGGAATGCTTCTCCTGCTCAAGCAATGTTGATGCAACTGAGGTTTCTTAAGAAGAAACGTTAAAGCCCTCCTGTTACTGAACAGTGGACTTATTACATCATCTGTCAATCAAGATAGATGAAATCAACAAGCCAATGGCTAGCAAGGAGAAACCCTTCCCAATACAAAACAGACCACAAGATTTTGAGTGGATAGGTACAGATACAGGTGGGCAGCTGGATACAACTGGTACAACAGCATGGTTCTTTTCCAAATTCAATCAGAAAATCTCTCCATCCTCACCTGCATTCACATTTACTGTGCTGCTGGAAGCTCATCGGATGTATATGCTGACTCTGAAAGTGTTTGAGTTTCATGATCTAGAAGGAAAAATGCAGGCAGAAGGGAGAAAGAAAAAAGAGGAACAGTGAGTCACGTTTACAAATGGATAATGCTCAACAGCCATCTCACAAACAAATAAGCAAAATAATGCTAAAACAGAGGGGGCAAAATGAAGGCTATATGAGTTAGCAACTTTAAGCTGCTTTCTTATCCCCATGTTACCCTCTAAGCCAGTATTTCTTAAACTAGGCAACTTTAGGATATGTGGACTTCAGCTACCAAAATTCCCCAGCCAGCCATGCTGGGAGTCAAAATCCATGTATCTTAACAGTGTGCACTGCTCTAAACTCATGGGACTCAGTTTTGAGCAGGACATTACAGGAAAATGCTCAAAAGCAATAAGAAATACTAAATTCTGATATGAATGGCTAATGCCATGCCAAAAAAGTACAATATAGTCTTCGTTTAGCAATCACAATTGGGTTTAGCAAATAAGAGATATTAATCAAATCAGTCATTAGATGAAACCATGACTGTTTATGATCTTCAGTTTTCCTTTGCTTTCCAAACCTGCAAACCTGATTGGTTATAAAGTCACTTTTTAATAATACCTACAATCAATCACTAAATGAGGCAGTCACTCAACAAGAACTACTTCGTAAATGGGCCTCACGCCCACAAGTTTAAAAGTTAAAAGATATTTTTTTTGACTCTGATTTCCAAAACAGATTGCCTTACCAAGTGGTCTTGGCTACCACACACAGATCCTTTGATTATAGATTCTAAATCTGGATGTTATTTAAAAAGAATAAAGCAAGGCATATGTAGAATAACAGATCTGGGGCTAGTAACATGGCTATTTGGTTTATCAGGCTAACTGCCAAAGTATTTTAAAGCATTTGGAAAGTGTAGCCAACACAACCTGAAACCTGGAATGTAGATTATTACATAGGTATGTGATCGCTATATATCTCTGTGCATGCATGTGTATATAGTACAGTCAAAAAGCAGTCAGGATTTTCAGGGAGAATTATATTCAGGTTCAAAAGAATGCATACAAAACTCAGCACTTCACTTCACTAGCCTTTGAAGAACATAGGGGAGCATCATGGTAGCCACAACCGTGTTTATAGCTCTTGAAATAACAAAGGCCACCAGGGCAATTTCTTTTCTGTTCTATTTTAGTGGGTGGGGTGTTTTTGTTCTTAATTTTTGGCTGCACTTTCTCAGAAGGACTTCTGACCTACTCATATTGCCCAGGGACAACATGACTTAGTCACATTGCTCTGGTCACATTAAAAATAGGTAAAAGCTAGTTATGTCTAACCTATCAAAAAGAAGGATAGGGGAAGGACATGATATCTGTCTTTAGTATTTGAGGGGCTGTCACAAAGAAGAGAGGATTGATTTATTCTTTAAGGACAGGAAGTAAGGGGGTAAAAAGGAGAGATGCAACCTAGAAGGAAGGAGAAATTTCCTGACTGTGAAACCAATTGATCAGTGGAATACCTTGCCTCCTAGTGCTGTGGGTGCTCTATCACTGGAAGTTTTCAAAACTAGACTGGACAACCATTTGATTGAGATGATATAAGGCTCCTGTCTTGAGCTTGGAGTTAAGACTAGAAGACCTCTGATGCCCCTTCCAGTCCTATAATTCTATGACTCATCTTTCTCTATTCTTTCCACATCCAACAGGTACAAATGGTTATATTAGGAGCTGGGTTTGGTCCCAGACCACCAGTTGAGCCTTCCCAAAATTATAGAAACCATTCAAAGTGGAATTTATTAAAGAAAGCAGGACAAAACTGCAGGCCAAAAGATTCCTCCTCATTGTTAAAGTTGCCTTGACTGTTAAACCATAGTCTCACCTCCATGGTGACATTGTAGATCTCTGTAGGCACACATTCTAGTGCTTCATCATTACAGCATCCTGCACATCTCATCAGGGGCACACAGGATGGTTTGAAGATGTATTCCACCTCATCAGGATACTCCTGGAAAATATCTACCATGGTCTCAATTGACCTGCAGGCACTACGCTCAAAGACCTTCATAAATGAGATAACTAGAAAACAAAAGGGAGGGAGAAAAGAAAAGGGGGGATTAGTTACACTTATTCTGTGAAGTCTAACATTAATGTTACAATGTAGTATAGACATAGACTTAAAGCACAAGGACCACTGACTCTGCCTCCTTCTACTGGATTCCTATCTAACAGGCTCACCAAAATACAGGCTCTCAGTAAATGCATTAGCCTACTTAAAAATGTACTCAAGGCCTAAGAAGGCAGACTATAGGGATTGTGGATGAGCAAGATATGATGAATCACGGACAAGTTTAGCATCTGTCTTGTCTGAATTTTAACCAGCTAGACACTGAATGCGTTTGCAAGATGAAAATAAAAGTGATTCATAAGGCCACAACTCTCACGGCATGGTGGCAGCTTGTTAGAGGAGCTTTACCTTGAAGTGAATGGAAAGGGAACCTGGTCATTTCAGAAACCCAGAGGCTCCAACACAGTGTCCCCTTCACATGTAAAGTAACACACCTCCTAGTTGATGTTAGCCTAACAGATTCCCTCAAAGGCGCAGCTGTTGAGCAGGACCAGATACCAATTCCTCAGGAAATTTTCTGCAGTGGGAATATCACATTTTCCGGGGCTCATCACACAGTGCCATGTAGCTGGAAAATATGCTTCTTCCTTTAACTTCTGGTCCTATGCTACTGCCAAGACTTTATGGAAAGTAGCCGAAGAAGTAGTAGAAACTCATTCTTGACTGTAGTGCACCATTTGTGTAGTTTTCAGCACAAAAATCAAGTAACTTAACAGGAGGGAAGGTCCCTCTCTCTTCCGTAAATCTACACCGTAACATTTCCTGACCTCCTCCAAAATGTTTTAATTTTAGTTTTAAAATTACAGCACAGACATACCCTTTATTTGTGTTTCTAAACTACAAGGAACAAACAATCATCTCATTCCCCCCAAAAGCATTGCCACCATTCTGTGCTGTGCACTCTGGTTGGCTGGCAAACAATTTTCATAATTTCATATTTACCCAAAGGGCCTCATCATTTGCTTCAATCACTGTAGAATTTGATTCTGGAGTGGATTGAGGCGACAATCCAACTGAAACTAAAGTTCAAAAGAACTTCAGTGCCCCTTATTTATTCCAGATTATGGTATTTATTACCATATTAAGTTTTAATGTTAGAAAGGTGTTTAGATTACTTTCTTCAATGAAACGAGGGAGGTTCTACCTGGGAAATTATGCATTTTATTCCAGCTCAGTCATCAAAATTTAACTCAGCCTTTAACAGTTACCAGCCAGCATGGCTAATGGCTGGAAATTCTACCTGTCATGTCCAAAGCATCTGAACAGCCTACAGTTAGGGTTGAGAAAGTGTGATCCAAATATACAGGAAAAGGCACATGAAATTGGAATTCACCCCGCTCCAATTTTTTTTGTGCAACATAGGGAGAAAAAAAGAATGCAAAGTCCCCAGCCCTAACGAATTTATACATACACACAAACCCACAATTCTACCATGACCAGGCTAAAGCTAATGGTTCATTGCAAAAGAGAGGATAGGAGATAGAGAGGCATGGCTCAACACAAGAGTACAAAATTTATCTTCCAAACCGAATATGAGATCTTTTAAGTTTCTGCCTGTTCCTCCAACAGGAACATTAGAAGCAGCGAAGGGAGTTCTTACAGAAGCAGGAGATACTGTTTGACTTAAGTGCCTTCTTTTTTTTTCCTTCCTTCCAAGGCCTGCAGTGATAGCCCAGTGTGATAACAAGCACAAATTGCTTGCATCATGGAAAAAACAGAAACCAGTAAACGTTTTGAACAGTCCTGAACCTGTGACAAACCAGCATAAAGGTTGCTCCACTGAAGCGCAGGCATATGCTGGGGGGAGGGGGAGGGAGGGAGGAGGGAAAGGGAGAGAGGGAGAGGGAGGAAGGGAGAAAGGAAGGGAAGGGAAGGGAAGGGAAGGGAAGAGAAGAGAAGAGAAGAGAAGAGAAGAGAAGAGAAGAGAAGA